TCAAAAAATAATTTAAAAAAAATTGTCGGTGGAATATTCAGCAAATTTTTGAATTTTTCAGGAAATAAAAAGTTAGAATAATTCTTTCTTTCTTTCGATTATGTCTCTTATCTATATATATATATATATATATATATATATATATATATATGAAGAAATATACTATATTTGTGCTATATTTATGGGGTAAAAGTGGTCAATATCAGAGATAGAGCGTCATAAACATAAAAAACAGACATAAAGCCAACACTTAGAGGCGACAGGCTGTTTCATGCAAGACGCCATCGTCAGGCCACGAGTTGTTGTTGAAAAAAAAAACACTCGTGGCCTGACAATTGCGTCTAGCATGAAACAGCCTGTTGCCTCGAAGTGTTGACTTCAATGTTCACTTTTATATATATATATATATATATATATATATATATATATATTGGATTGATGAGAGTTTAACGCTATTTGCGACACTTAAGGCAAACTGATTAATTTTAAATTTTGGACTTATATATGGTTGCGTATATATATATATATATATATATATATATATATATATATATATATAAAATATAAATAACTAGACTCGTTTCGAAAAACCCTCGAATTTTTGATTTGTTAATCAAATCAATTTCGAGGGAAAAAAAGGTTTTAAAAAAAGAAAGAGCTACAAACATAAACTTCTGCCGACAAAAATCGCACAGATGCAGGTCTGAAGCCCAAAGAAAAAACCCCGATACGAGTAACAACTAACTAACAAAAAGCTCAATACAATCGTAGAGCAAACCTAGAAACACCTAGTGAGCCAGACAAAGCTACCTAGGTTTCACCTAAACGGATCGTCAGGGAAAGCGTGGCGATCCGTTTAGGTGAAACCTAGGTAGGTTTGTCTGGCTCACTAGGTGTTTCTATATATATATATATATATATATATATATATATATATATACAAAATTTAAGAATTATTCAGTTTGTCAGACGATCGCAAATAGCGTAAAAAGGCAGGGTCACAAAGTGACATCAATCCAACTAAATATGTTAGCTCTATCATTGATATTGAGCGCTTTCCAATAAGTACCAATATATAATATATAAATAATATATATAAAAAAATTGTATTATGCATATATATATATATATATATATATATATATATATATATATATATATATATATATATATATATATATATATATATATATATATATATATATATATATATATAGAGAGAGAGAGAGAGAGAGAGAGAGAGAGAGAGAAAGAGAGAGAACAGATGGAGTAAAAATTCAGTTCGTAGCATTTGCTTGAAAATTTTACTTTTTATACATATTTACTTTTTTTTATATATAGTATAGTATATAAACTTTACTTTTTATATACAGTATAGTATAGAAGATGAGGATATCAGCCGATTCCGCTACTTTGGTTTCAAACTTTCGGTATCTTCAGGCGATTTTGGTCAATGGATTCCCTAACGATTTATTTTTTTATTAAAAAGTTTTTAAAGTTACAATGTAACCCGGATATAAGAGAGTTGTCAGGACCGGAGAAGATGTCTCTTATATCCGGGTTTCTCTTATATCCGGGTTTGGTCTATTTTGCTTAGGTATGTATGGGCTCTAATTTGGGACCAGAGAAAATCTCTCTTGTATCCGGGTTTCTCTTATATCCGTGTCTCTTATAACCGGGTTACACTGTATATTAAAATAAATAATAAATGAACGACGTGAGGTGTGGTAGAAGGTGGGGAGCAGAGGGAAAATCAAGTGTATTGGAAATATATCCGTGAGCGATTAAACGAAATATACCTACGTTCTTTCTATCCCACTTCAAATGAACCCAAAATAAACTTTTTAGTATGTATACAACGGATGATAATTTACATAATTTATTTTGGGGGTCTGGAAATGTTAGTATCGCTATTTTTTTCTTGTTGACAAAAGTTGCTGATGTTGCAATGTTTGTTATAAATTCATATATATATATATATATATATATATATATATATATATATATATATATAAAACACACACTCGTAAAGGGTGCCATATTTATGGGATAAAGTTCTCAATATCAGAGATATAAATCTAAAAGTGAACATTGAAGTCAACACTTCGAGGCGACAGGCTGTGTCATGCTAGACGCAATCAGGCCTGATGATTGCGTCTAGTATGAGACAGACTGTCGCCTCTAAGTTTTGACTGCAATGTTCACTTTTAAATTTATATATATATATATATATGTGTGTGTGTGTGTGTGCCTGTGTGTGTGCGAATTTATTATTATAATAGTAGTCCTAATAGTAGAAGTGGTAGTAGTAGTAAAAATAGCATTACACTAAACTAAAAGAGAGTTTGTTCCTCGACAGGATTCGAACATACGTCATTTTTGTAGGGTCTGACGATGACATCCCTAAAATGACGGATTTTTGAAATACATAGGCGGGGGTATATACAGGAATATACTAGATCTAAATTCAGTTATTTTTTCTTTACATGTTATGGACTATTGATTCATTATCGTGAATATATATATATATATATATATATATATATATATATATATATATATATATATATATATATATATATATAATGAGCCAGACAAACCTACCCTAGGTTTCACCTAAACGGATCGTCAGGAAAGTTTGGCTAACGAGGCAAGAAACACACATATTTATTTGTGATAGCTAAAAATTTTACCACGTGACAAAATAAAAATTTTATTTTGTTTTTTGTTTTTTAGCCAAAACGTGGTCCTGACGATCCGTTTAGGTGAAACCTGGTAGGCTTTCTGGCTCACTAGGTGTATCTAGGTCTGCTCTACGGTTGTATTGAGCTCTTTTGTTAGTTAGTTGTTACTCGTATCGGGGTTTTTTTTTTGGGCTTCAGACCTGCATCTGTGCGATTTTTTTGTCAGCAGAAGTCCATGTTTGTAGCTCTTTCTTTTTTTTAAAACCTTTTTTTCCCTCGAGATTGATTTGATTAGCAAATCAAAAATTCGAGGGTTTTTCAAAAACGAGTCTAGTTTTCTATATTTTATATATATATATATATATATATATATATATATATATATATATATATATATATAATTGCGTATTTCGGCAGCAATCCTTATTTTAAACAGGTTTTCATTAAAACAACTGACAAGTTACGACGGTTAAATTTTTTTATTCAATTTTCTTGTGTTCTTATTTTCTTCTTTTCTGGACATAAATTCTGGAGAAATTGTCCAATTTTTTTCTATGTCCGATCGCTTTTGTTACATTATATTTGTATTATCAACGAGTGTGTTGGGGATGGAATTTGGTAAGTCTCTCCGTGCGTTTAAATGAGACCTTGTTGAGCTCCTTCGTTCCTAATCAATCCAAATTCATAAATAATCATATTGGATATACTGCAACATGCCTAACTAGAAGACCTACGTTACATCTCTCTGACCAGAGATCAATTTGGTCTCATTTAAATACACACGGAGACCTACTAAACTTTCTCTGTAACGTACACGTTGATAATACAAATATAATAGCATCATCCACATGTTAAAAAAAGGCTAAGAATGATGGAATCATTATTAATAAAAGGTAAAACGTTAACACTTAATAATATCAACGATGAAAACGGCCACAATGTGCTACCGTGTTTGGAAAATAAAACATTGCTATAACTCTAGATAAATACGTAAAAACAACCCATACATTCAGTTAAAAGTAAAAATAAAATCCATCCTTTATAATGGCTAAAAGTATAGCCGAAAGCGCAGACATACAGAATTTTCGGAAAATTTCTACACGATTTATATCCAGAAAAGAAAGAAATTAGGAGAATACAAGAAAAATTAAATAAAAAATTTAAACGAACTAGATTGTCATTCGTTTTAAGCGAACCGTGTACATATATATTTGTTTGTGTTTGTGTGTGTGTGTGTGTGTGTGTGTGTGTGTGTGTGTGTGTGTGTGTGTGTGTGTGGTCACACATGCCGATGGAAAACACTTGGACACAGATATATACAAACAGAGAGACAGACAGACAGACAGACAGACAGAGATAGATAGATAGATAGATAGATAGATAGATTATATGAACATAAATTGTAGAAACAATAGTGAATCAAATTCTTCTATTTAAAATGACTTATGTGCATTAAATATTAAATAAATAAATAAAACTCGATTTCATAGCACGTCAACCATTTTGTTTTCTTCCGACCGATTCTCTTTTCCTCCTTCCAGTTCTAGCCACCCCCGACCCTCGACCGGCACCCCTGCCGCGCCCGAGTCGCCTGAACGTTTTCCATTGACAGCCAGCATCAGTCGGATTGCTAAAGCCATGGAGACATGTGTAAATCTCGCAGTCCCGACATGTCTTCTGCGTGCGACAAAGTAATCCGATAATTACACGCCGTAATTAGTGGTCGGATCTTTTCAAAGATGGCCGGACTGTGACGGGTCGGAAAGCGCTCGAGGCAGAACAAAAATGCCGGGAAAACCATGACTCCGTGATGGGAGATTAGGCGCCAGTTTTTGGGATGTATATATATATGTATATTTTTTTCTGATTACTTTTTTTTTTCTAATCAATGCAATTCTTATTGTTTAGAAGCTATTCCCGAACACCTACAGAGATGGAAAAAAAAAGAGTGTAGGCGAGCGTCAAAGCCAGGGATAGAAAAAGGAAAGATCTTAATATATCAGGAAGAAAGAAAGAAAGATAGAGAGAGAGAGAGAGAGAGAGAGAGAGTGAATGTGTAAGAAAGAGAGAAAAACCAGAATTAGATATTGTGTATTGTGCCAAAGAGTATAGTGCTATGCCTAAATATATAAGCAGATGAACGCAAACACGAACGTGTCGTTTCGAAATGCCTTTCATTTTTCAATGCGAGGAAACAGAATAGTTATTTATAAATTCTGGCTCAAGGTCAAAAATAGTGGTAACTTCAGTGAAGAATAAGATCATTATGAGAAAATTTTGTTTATCATTGAGTTGTTTTTACTGGCATATCTATTCATGTCTCAGGGGATCATATCTATTATCATATCTATATATGGCGCTGGTGATCATATCTATTATCATATCTATTCAGAGCGCAGGGGATATTATCTATTATCATATCTTTTCAGGGCGCAGGGGATCATATCTATTATCATATCTATTCTGGGCGCAGGGGATCATATCTATTATCATATCTATTCAGGTCTCAGGAGATCATATCTATTATCATATCTATTCAGGGCGCAGGGGTTCACATCTATTATCATATCTATTCAGGTCTCAGGAGATCATATCTATTACCATATCTATACAGAGCGCAGGAGATCATATTTATTATCATATCTATTTTGGATGCAGGTGATCATATCTATTATCACATCTATTCAGGGCGCAGGTGATCATATCTATGATCATATCTATTCTGGACGCAGTGGATCATATTTATTATCAAATCTTTTCAGGGCGCAGGGGATCATATCTATTAACATATCTATTCAGGTCTCAGGAGATCATATCTATTATCATATCTGGTCAGGGCGCAGGGGATCATATCTATTATCATATCTATACAGAGCGCAGGGGATCATATCTATTATTATATCTATTCAGGGTGCAGGGGATCATATCTAATATCATATCTATTGAGAGTGCAGGGGATCATATCTATTATCATATCTATACAGAGCGCAGGTGATCATATCTATTATCATATCTATTCTGAGCACAGGTGTCATATCTATTATCATATCTATCCAGTGTGCTGAGGATAATAATTCTCCACACATCTTTTGTCGTTATTATATGTTAATTGTCATACGTTCTTTTAAAAAATATTCGTTTACCGTTACCTTCTCCATATTTTGAATTTAGAGTTTTAGGCTGATTGCCATCAAAGTCTAGAGAACACCGTCTACACTGTTATTTAACCATTACTTTGGGTGGAAACGGATCCATGATTTACCAAAAGCAATCAGTGTGAATTCTTGGCGCCGTTATTTAGTTGTTAATTTTTCTTGGCGTTCTATGTCTCACATCATGAAAAGAATGATCACAGTCACTCCTTCAAGAAATTTTCTGGTATCTGGAATATTTTGGGAATTGCCAACCCGAATTGTTAACCCGGGTCACTAGAATATGTCGCACGTTAATGAGTTGTATTTGAAACTCGTGGAGGGACGTTGTCACGCTGTATATTATTATTGCTTCGTAAAATGTCTTTCTGTTTCCAAGGCATCATTCAAATAATTAGGGACGTTATAGCCATAACACATTGAAACACCACTTCCCGTACGAACATCAAAATTAAGTTGCGTTGAGCCTGGAGATGAGGGACTGCTTGGGAATAACGGGTGCTGTGATCATGGATGTGCGGGTGGTGTAATAGATAATGACTAGGAATTGTTAATCGGAAAGTCAAGTTCCAATTCCAGTTGTGTTCTCTATATTCAATTACGTACTAAACGCTTGATAAAGGTATGAATCCACCTCTTCTCCCCCAGCTATGGGTTAATTAGTAAGACTTGTATCAGTAAAGTATTATTATCTCCAAGAATAATTCTTACACTCTAAAAATATTTTATGGCTTTATATAAACTGCAAAAGATTGATAAACCATAAAAAGCGAATCAATCAATTTGTCCATGCTATTCTGATCAGTTAAAATTCTATACCTATTTATTTAAATAATGAAAAAGACTAAAGCATTTTTTCTTTCTCGGCTATAACAGTCCAAAGAGCAGTGAAAAAAGACTTTAAAAATGAAATCATACGTGAAACCTGTGAGGCAACTTGTTACTCAAGGACCGAAAGTTCGAATGTTAGAAAGGGCGATCATCTTCAATAAAATAGAAAAACATCCGAACAATTACCTTGAAAGTATGTATAGAAAAGTCACAGGGAAGCAACTTTAAGGCCATGGGATAGTGACTGAAGATATATATATATATATATATATATATATATATATATATATATGTGTGTGTGTGTGATTCTCGTCATTAATATTTTCTTTTATTGTTATATTATCAACCAGAAAGTGAATAATAAATATTAGGTTGGTGCAAAAATAATGTCGTTTTTTGACATTCAACTTAACGTCAAAAAACATTATTTTTTTGCACCAACCTAATATTTAAACGTTGACTGATCCTTGTTTTCGAAACATCATGTGAAACCCATTTTCAATTTTTCTGAAAATTTACTAAGATTACCAGGTAGCGTACCACAGGGAATAAAGAAGCCAGTAGGAGTCGGCTATCTGCGCCAAAAGTAGGTTTGCCAGTCATTGCCTTTATTTTCACACGTGGCTGTGTATCCATCGCTCCGTCTATCCAATTTGGGGTTAATAGCAGACTAGACGGCACTCGGCCATTACTCTCCTTCTCCAATCTCTGAAACAATCGATTTAGTGTCGGCTTCATGTTCCCCTTGGTCTTTCTCTCGGACTCCTGCCATCGATACGACCTTCCTGAATGTGCGCGCAGTGGGTCTGGGCCCTAATGACAGGGTGAAATTATTGCATTGTGGGCAATCAGGTTCTCCACATCTTTCTGTCCTTTGTAGATGTCATCATAATTCCCAGTCACGTTAGGTTATCCATTTACACAAACCCATTAGGTTGATTACCCGCTGTTTTCACCTGCTCCTCTTATCTTTAAGACATTCTGTGAATGTTAAGTTCGCCAAGCTCTCCTTCTCAGATATTTCAAGTCTTTTCGTTCCTATTTTCCTTAAAGCTTCCTCGTTGCTCACATATTCAATTTATAGCATTCTCAAAATCCTTCTGTAGAACCACATCGCTGTTGAAAATCTCATCTTCATCTGCCCTATAGGAAAATAGATAATACATAGAATTTCAAACGATCTTTGATTCTAAAGAAAGTTTCATATCTCTTAATACTTCGTTTAGTTTTTGTAAAGCTTCTTTTGCTCTTTCAATGAGACTTCGAGTTTCGGTGTCATGCTTTTCTTTATATGTTACTGCACAAGCCAGATAGTTAAAATTATTGGTTCAGCAATCTCCAATTTGTACTTGACACTTTCGGCAACTCCTCTTGCTGACGAAGATAGATGAAGTCTCCTTATGGTTAATTGTCCTTTCTATGCGTTTTTCATTACTATCTTGTAGAATTGTTCTGGGTATGACGATAAACTACATCCGCGTCCTGAGTAAGACGATAAACTACGTCCACATCCTGGGTAAGACGATAAACTACATCCACCTCCTGGGTATGACGATAAACTAGATCCGCATCCTGGGTAAGACGATAAACTACATCTGCCTCCTGGGTATGACGATAAACTACATCCGCGTCCCGGGTAAGACGATAAACTACATCTGCCTCTTGGGTATGACGATAAACTACATCCGCGTCATGGGTAAGACGATAAACTACATCTGCCTCCTGGGTATGACGATAAACTACATACGCGTCCGGGGTAAGATGATAAACTATATCTGCGTCCTGGATATGACGATAAACTACATCCGCGTCCTGGGAGAGACGATAAACTACAACTGCCTACTGGGAATGGCGATAAACTACATCTGCCTCCTGGGTATGACGATAAACTACATACGCGTCTTGTCTAAGACGATAAACTGGATCTGCGTCCTGGGTATGACGATAAACTACATCCGCATCCTGGGTAAGACGATAAACTACATCCGACAGCAAGGTCTTTGATGAGATGTTTTGAGAAGCGTGGAACCACGTGTGGCACCATTTACCAAGGCAGAAAAAGAAAAGAAAGGAAAGAAAGGAAAAGAGAGGCGAAGACCCAAAGCGTGGATGATAAGCAGAACACCACGGCTAAGAGACAATGGATAAAGGATATTTTGATAAATAACAAATGGCGAAGAGTGTCATTACAATGAAAAAAAATTCTGAGTGGATAAAGGAATCGGGTGTGTTCTGACGACGGGCTGTGTTATTGGGATGCATAAACAAACCGCTAATGCGTGAAGGCATCTGATTGGCAAACCACAGACTGACTAGCCAAAGAAAAATCCAAATGAAAATGTTATTTTGATAAGTGACGGAAAACAGGTGGACTACAGGGCTTTGGATAGATATGAAAAATTAATTGTGTCAAAAGCCGCACACGAGGTACCACTGACCGATTTCTTTCGACAGAACATCTTTAGCCTGCGATAATAAAACTATGTTATCAGAAATGTGGACCGAAAAATGAATGGGAACCTAGAAATGTTTCTTTTCAAGGCGACGTTCTGGCCGTGTTAAAAAATTGACCACCCATTCTGATAATTAGCGATAAGATGACTGACGGGAAGCCAGGTGAGAACAAGAGTTATGACCACCATCGATCGTATTGTTCTGTTTGCGGCTAGAGAAAATGATAACTGCGATTAAAAGAAAGAAAAGGAAAAGAAAAAGATAATTTTTTTTCTTAAGCAAGATATTTTTTTTCCTGAAACAAAGCCGCGGGATCGTATATGCCCGACTAGACATCATTGGTCGAGTGGTGATCACGTGACGCAAGGAGGAGGCTGTCGCCGCCAATCTAGAAGATGGGTATGAGAGGTTGCTACGAAGAAGTGGGGAGGGCAGTTCACGCCCCTCTGAAGTATGGTGAGAAGGTGGGAGCAAGAGAAGGCTCCCAAAAATGGAAAAAAAAGTGGAAAATTCCTAACCAGAAATAAAAGAGGTGGATATGTATTTAGAATTATCGAGGACCCCCGGCGCCGACAAACCCACCCCGGTTTTGGTCGGCGTCCATATAAGCGAAGTCGCAGCGAGCAGAAATCAGTTCGAGTTAGAGTTTCAGTTCCAGTTCCAGCAGAGAGCTCGAAGTTCGCAGTGGAAGTTGGTTCCACCTCGCAGATAGCTGACTTGAAAGATTCACGCAAATTCCGGACTCCTCTTCAATCCAAGAACAATTAATTTGAAGAGCGACTTAGATCCAGACCACCAAGATAAGTTTTTTTTTCGACTTTCGCCCGAAGACACACCGAAAAACCCATTTCTTAAAGAGCAAACAACTTGAAGCGTTAAAACTCGCCTAACGGAAAACAACGTGTCACAATCCATAGAAAGGGTCGGGAAATAGACGCAGTCCTATGTATCCAACAACTAGACATAAAGTTTGTTATCCTTTTTTGATACCTTGAATTTTGAGTTATCATTTATTTTCTTTTATGCATATTTGTGCGGTGTCACCACCGTTTGAACCCGATTTGCATTACGGCCCCAACTACTGATTGATCTCGTCTGCCTAAGATTAATTCACAGCGTGGGTAGGCAGACTGGAGATCAGTGCAGTTACTTTGGTAACCAGGCGTTGGAAGCGAGTTGGGAACGACGAGGCTGATATCGAATCTAACCAGATTCCCATCCGAATCACAAAAAGGTTAGAACGTAACATTTGGGTGCCGCGACCGATACCAAGCCAGTTGGTCGTCACAGGACGAGACAACACGACTGACGCGACAGGCGGACGTCACGTTTGGAGCGGCGACACCCGAACGGAGCAGCGAGGAGCGAGCGAAGGCTGCGTTTAAGGACGTCGCAGCTGACGCCGCGACCAAAGGACGTCACACACGTCTTAATTGCTGGTGTTCCAAGGTTCACCCTCACCCGTGGTGGTAGTAACTGTCTAGGTCCCAGTTAACCCCCACCAAAAGGAGTCAGAACACAATGAAAATATAAAAATAGGTTTTAATATCAGTAATACTTTTTTTTGGAAAAATTATTACCAGCAGTACATTTCTGAAAAAAATATTACCAACAATATATTTTTGAGA